GCGGCCGCACATGGCCGCTGCCGTCACTGCTGTAACCCGCACGTAACAATGCATACCGATCGATTAAGAAACGTAATCGAGTGAAAATTGTACCACTTGCGACAGGGCCGGACTCCATATATCTACAATTGAAATTAAATTCAGTTTAATTAATTATAATTGTGCTAAAATGGTGCAATAATTAAGCAATTGTTTTGTTACCGAAGTAACTTTTTTTTTTACATTTTGATGACGCACATTTTTCATCATGTTAAGTCAGTTCTCCGTTTATTTGAAATACTAGGTCGCAGCAATTTACTACACTTACTTGAATTAGGTCGAAAAGCGTATTACAAAACTCAAAGGTCCGAAAGACTTTTTTCATTTATAACTTAGAAAAAAATTATATTCACTCTACTTTACAGTAACTACTTCTATATAATTTACGTATAACCTATTTTTTTATTTGTACATAATCATTGTATCAAATTATAAGTACCGTGGTGTCGTCATGGCAATACAGGCACGTGACTAGGCTAATAGCAGGTGATTGAGTCCGGCCCTGCGGCGTGACATCGGCATGCGCGGGGCGCGCGGTTACCAAATATACCAGCACTTTCGTCCGCTCTCACTATCGTTGCTGTGTCCCGGCCCCCTTGCGCCGCGTCGCGTCGCGCCGCCGCCTCCCCGCTCGCCTTATATTCTCATCTTAAATGTAGGAACTGGTACAGAGCAATATTGAATTGTCTTGTACTACAAGAAGGCGATACAACGTATGCCACGACAACGTGGGCCTTTTATCATGCGATCTGATAAATATTGTTTTTAAGGTTACATTTACAAGGTCAATTGTATAATGCATAGTATTCATTGTTTTCTATGATATTATGGCCCAGCCCGTGTGCGTGCGGGCCGCATATTGACAGTGCAATCACGTGCGGGCAGCGGCGCGGCGGCGCTGAGCAAGCAGGCGGCAGTTTGGCGACCGAGGAAATGTGTTCGGCGATGTCGCAAGCCCTGCAGTGCCGCCGGGAATTACAACCTAACTTTCTGATTAGCTAATTTTTAAAAAAAGACTCTTTGGTGTTTAGACTTTATAGCTTCATCGGGCGATTGAAAGTAGCCTTATTGAATTAGACTAAACTAGGAACATACTATTTTTCGCGATATCGACACTTATGACAATTAAAAAGGGCATGAATGATAAAAAGATGACTGCAAATCCCAGCTGATGGGCGGCGCGGCGCAGCGCGAAGACCGTGATATTATCGTGCGCGTGTCGGCTGACCATAACGCAGTGTAACAGTGAAAGTATTGCTGATTCATATCCTGTCAACTCACTAGCAAACAGTATCAATAACATATTAAAATATATTTCTTTGCTATATTATCTATACAAGGATTATGATTGTCTGGTGATCACTTGTAACAAAGGTCATTGTTAGCTTGTAAGGAATCGATGACAGATTTTGGAGATGAATCCAAATAGTCGCTGGACGCCGCAGCTTGGCGCGCCGCCAGGTGCTGCTTGTGAGGATGCGTTGCGATATCCGCACGCGGCCTAAATACAGCTTGCTGTGTTGCTCCAGATATCTCTAAGTCGAACTCGTCCTTCATCAGTAAAGACAATCGGCCTATAGAGAGCGTTGCGACTATAATTGTGAGACAAGATTGACAGATTAGGACATAACACATTTTTACTCTGTAAATATAAAATATGTTTACCAGTTATTTGATCTATGAAAGTGTTTCTATGTTAATGTTGTGTAAACTTATTTAAGTTGTGTTTTCAAACTGAAGTTGTATAATTGTTTGTATTAGTTAACAAGACAATTTATCTTTTCTGTTCATTGACTTCAGTCGGAGTTTTAACTTTTACTTTATTTAAGTCAGTTGTTGCACAGAGATGTTGTGGAAGGAATTGTTGAGA